GCTGTTGGACAGTAAAATACAAGCACAAGGGAAAAAAATAGCAATTTAGGACAGGTATGCTCAAGTGACTGGAGCTGAATGGAATCTTACTGCTGGACATCAGTTACGTTAATAAAGTGCAAGCATGATAGTTTCATAATTAAACACATTTGAGCTTTCAACTAGAAATATGATACATTACATCACTCAATAAAATGTAAGCCAACAACATTTTGGTCCTGCATGGTAAAAAAAGGACATCTCCATTTTGACCTGATTTTTGGATCAGTGTTCACTTACTCAACTAAAAAAAAAACTGTAGCTCTTTAACTCAAACCACAGAGAAATGGCACAATCAATATGTTTCTTAGCCTCCGTCTGCACTCTGCTGCCGTCTCCCTTCCTCATTTAATCACAGCAAGCACTTTGATGATGGATAGCTATGGAGAAGAGGGTCTGCAGCCAACTGGAAATCCTATATAGGAACACTGTCTTTTTCCTGTCTCTATCTTTCTCTCTCTCCCCATCACAAAGTCATGATGCTCTGTCTGTCTTCTCTCTGTCTCCTTCCATCTCTGTTTTCGTCCGTCTCCTCCCTGAGGCCAAAATGCCTTTGTCCAGGGAGCAGGCTGTTTATGAGCATCCCCACCGGAAACACACTGATAAATGTCACTGTCTGCAGCGAAATTAAACATTTAGTGATAGTCCTCGAAAATGGCTCAGGGACAACAGTAAACTAGCATATCTTGGAATGCTCTGCTTTTTGTTGCCTTTTCATGTTTTTTTTTAATTAAGATAGGGTTTAACAACGCATCAGTGCTCACCATTCCTGGCTCACATCTCCTCCTGTGTTTGTTCAAGGAAGGAGCAAGAAGACGACCAGCTGAGAAGGTCTGTCAACCAACTGCATTCTACTTTTGAACCTAACTCCTTACTGATGCTGTGAGTTACTGCAGGTTTGTGCTTTTTCAACTCAACTTCGAAATGGCTCTTGCTGATCAGCTCTCACCCCACATCTTGAATTTGCATGCCAAAGAATAAATCACATTTTCATAAGCAGCTCCTTTCCTGTTGTCTACAGATTTGAGTATCAGACAAACAGTTCAAGAATGTTTCCTTGCTCTGAACTGCAGATGCTTCCCAGCACCCACAGCGGCCATTTAACGGCTCAGTCTCTGCCTGGCTTTTATGGCCATGAATCTTAAAGAGGCCCTTTTCCAGAATTACGGCACATTGAGGTGTGGCAGAGAGGCAGGAGGAGAGCTCTCAGGCATTTTAGGGGACAGGTGTTTTATGTTCTGTGTGCACAAACACACAAGTTTGTCAAGCAGTGTGTATGTGTGTCTTGTGTTGAAGGCCTGACAGAGGTAATCACTCAGTGAGATGGAGGGATGAAGCAGCTTTAAACGCCGACTGTTTTAGGCTTCACTGCATAACCAAATAACACTCTGTGTGTCGCAGAGGCTAATAAGGCGTATTCCTTTTCCAAGCAGCTCAAGGGGAAAATAGCCTTCCTGCTTTGGGAAGAAAAAAAAAGAGCTACTTTTACAAGATACAGACTTTTCTTTTTTCTCTCCTAAGCTGACAAATAAATTGCATGCAGTTTTAATGGTTTTTCTTTTGCGTGCAGTCGGGAGTGGAAATGACACATTTCACTGCCCCTGCAATGGCTTCATTGGGTATTTATCAGCCCCGGTGACTCCTGGCTGTGTTAATAATCCCATAGGACTGGTGTAATGGATTCAGCCAAACCCCTGCTTTATCCCAGGTATCCTCCCTTTCTTCCACTAAATCCACAGATTATTACAGAAAATACTTTTTCTCTCATATACTTGTTCTGTCAAATTAACTCTTAGCATCCTGGCCCTTTGGAGGATTTACAGGATTTTTTTTTTTTTTGCTTACTTTTTGCTGAATATAGGATAATCACCAGTTCACTGTGGGGTTTTAGAAACAAAACTCAATCTCACATTTTTTTTCTCCCGTCTATCTCACTGAGCTTAAAGGATCCAAGTTTTACAGATAGATGTTATGAGTAAAGGCTACAAGAGATACTGAGTACGAGATACTGTTCCACTTTATATGAACTTAGAAAAAAAAGGGTGTCTACTGTTTATATCTGTATATTGCAAGTATATTTCTGTAAATAATTTAGTGAACCTTACAGTTATATGCATGTCATGGTAATCTACCTTCTAGTTTACTGAATGTGATGACAATAACATGTAATGTCTGAAACACAGGGCAGGGGGAAATATAACACCCTAAAGCTGCTGTTAGTTTGTGGTTCACCTTTTTTGTGTATGAAACTATACAAACTAGACATCAATAGATTTTTTTATGTCAGACAAAAGCTAACATTAATATATTATTTACAATCCATTATATTCAACTTTGGCATTCGTGTTTAATTAGTGTGCTTTGTTTTTACTTTGTTGTAGCTCCATTACTGATCCAACATCTTGTTTCATGTTTTAATTAAGATTTTTTTTTTTGTAATACACCACACTTATTTATTAAATTCTCATTGTTCCTGTTTGTCATTTGCTTGTCCATATCATCTCTTTGCTTATTCTTTTTCAGTCCCATTCTATTTTTCTTTCCCCTATCTATCCATCAATGCATTCATTTGTCTCTGTATAGCAATTTCTGATGACTAGCATCCAGTACAATGCCTTTCTCAGGCAGGCAAGGTCTATGGATGTGTGATGGAGTGCTCCGCTCAGCAACCTGGCAGCGATGTGAAAAAATTGATTTTCTGACAGATTAAAGAAGATTAAACCAGCCATAAAAACAAGCAGGAAAGTGCTTAATGGACCATATGTGCACAGTAAGTTTTCATATGTATTCTTTTCCCGTTCTCCTCACGCCATCCATCTTATTTACACAATGACAGGTCACAGACCATGCTAATGTGACCATCATGATAGCTGGACTGTGTCCTTCATATTATTTTGCAAAAGATGTGCATATTCTCCAATATAAACACTTCAGAGAGCTGCAGGTAAATAACCGTTTCATGTTTTTCCCCCCTGTAAATTCAGTTGTACTCATACACCACATTTAAAGCAATCGATCTGACTAGTCAGCAACACTGCTTGCTATGCCAACTCTTGCATAAACAGAGTTGTCTAGTTATTTACAGTGTGCAGGGTAGATGTATTGAGTATATTTAATACAAATCTTTAACAATGAAATCTTTAAACTGAACCAAGTATGCTACTGAATCACCGTTGTCACCAGTAGCTTTTAGCAGCGGAGCTCCACTTACTGGTGACTGAGAGCACCACTGTCAGTCATGAAACACAGTTACTTCCTCATTAAAGGCTTATTAATAGGCAACAAAAGCTGCAGAAACATTGATAATACATAGCTGCAATAGACTGAACTAAATATAACAGCATGAAACAACAACAGACTGAATGTACTACAAAACTGAAAACAGCAAAATGTTATGAGGCAACAGCACACAATCACATTAATAGACCCGAGTGTAAATACATCCTAATGGTCTATCCTTAATCAATTTACTTGCTTTTTGTGTTAATAGTCTGCCCTGCCGGACAACAAAACCTGCCCAAACCTAGATGTTGGTCAGTTGCAGACAGCATCAGTTTCAACCCTCAGTGACTAAGACAGCTCTTGCTCCATGTGCTTCACAATAAAAGCCCTTTATTGGTGCTTTAGTTTAAAGGTTTGAATGTGAGGCAGTAGCAGAAAGCATTTAATATTAGCTTTATGCAATGAAATATTTTAATAGCTCTGGCTGCATGAAAAAAGAAAAATGTAAAATGGCCATCTCCTAAATGAAAGAATTAGTTTAAGCTATAGAAAAATACATGGAAGCAGTCACTTGCACTTGTGCTTAGGTTAAATCAGGTGTTAATATAGTGAAAAAAGCCATCATTTGAGGAGGTGTTAGAATGTGAACAACAGCTTTTGCCATAAAAATACGCCATACAACACCACCAAGTCCAGCTCAAAAAAATTCACATGCCTTTGATGAAGATAAAAGTAGCCAAAGTCATGGTTGGGTTGAGTTTGTCTCAGCAAAAATTAGCTCATTTTAATATTTGGCTCAGGCTCTGACTACAAACCATGTCTTAATGTTGTAATTAACAAGGCCCAGAGTCAGAATCTCTTATTATCAAGTTCACGTAAGTTTACAAAAGTCAGAGGGATTCTGGAGTTCAGCCTCATCACATTCACATTTAGGGTCCGACGAAAAATTAAAGAACAGCATATCCTTTTCAAACAAATGTTTTTAAAATTCCCCACTTTCATTGACACCGCTGGCCATTAGACTGAAACACAATACATTGGTTATAGCACAGCTGAATACACAATACATAGACTGAAACACAATACATTGGTTATAGCACAGCTGAATAAAAATAGACATTCTGTGATCTCTTCAACCTTTGGGCTGATGTGGATTTATAACAGAGCAGACAAGAAAATCGGCCACAATGTAAAGGTGTTAATCATAATTTGTGCACCATTATCTGTGCCTTTTTAATCACTGGATTGATTCTGAATTCTCACAGGATAAACTGTTCTTAGCCATTTCTGTAATTGGACCATGAAAGAGCAGCACTACAACGACACAGACGCATGAAGCACAGTTTCTTTGACAAAGCACGCTGAGCAGCACGATGTGTGACTGTGGCTTTGAAGCTGGAGCTTATGAGCACGTAGAGAGAAAATGTCTCATCCCATGTTGTTTTCTCAGTAAATATACAAGGACAAACTAAACTAAAAAGTTTTGGGAAAATGCATTTTTCCCCATGCACCGTTACTGTTCCTCTCAAGCAAAAACCATGACATCATGCATCTGTAGCTAGTCATCAAACATTTTGCTGCTTCATAAAGTGCAAACACCTCAGCACATGTTGAGTGACAGCAACTAGCATTCACTAACCATGTAGCAGCTCTACAGCTAAATCACAATACAACATTTTCAGTGATGTTAGTATTAGCTTACAGTGCATTCCAGCTCAAACCGAATATGAAACACTCACCCACTGTAGACTTGAACTTGATCACCACCACACAGGACATAAAATGAACTCTGAAAACATTGCAAAGGGATGTTTTACTGCACCATATGAAGATAGTGTGTACACTACACACACAGTTCAAGCTACATGCACCATAAAATAAACCACTACTAGTGTTTAGTTGAGATTTTAGACCATCTTCTTCTAGAACAGTTAAATGATAAATAAGTATGCGTCATCCAAAATTAACTCTTACATCTAGGTGTTCAAAACTACATGAGAATTTATGTTTCATGTGAAATGATTCAGAGCATGTTGACAAAGTCGCTGCTGTAACCGGGAGAGATTTAACCCAGTCAGAGGCCCCTGGACCCGGTATGGTAACCATCTTCCATCATCACCACAAGCAAGAGATTTACCACTACACCAATGAAACTGCCTCACCAAAACAAACACATTGTGCATCAGTATAAACTCATCTCATTTCTACTTCATCACATTTTACAAGTAACACAAACATCTCTCTCCAACTGTTCAGCACAACAACAAACGAGCATTGTAAACCGCACAGTATAGAACATATTAAAGCCAGAATAACAAGTATTAAGGTTAAGCACTGACTTATTGAGGCAGGCAGGTCAGTGTCTCCGCTTTGACAAGTCTCCAGATCCACTTTGGTCCAATATGTATAAAGAGTGTCGATACTGAAACTGTCAAACAGTCCTTCAGAACACTGGGTTAATGACCAACTGAGAACAGGTGTGCAGGCAGGTGCCTGATTAGGTGACAGCAGAGTCGGCGAGAGCAACTAGTGGAGAGGTGAGTTATGACAAGAATTGGGAAAACAATGTTGAAAAAAAGTCAGAGAGAAAAAGTCACTGGCCACTGTCTCACAGTGCATAAAAATAAGTTTGTACCCAGTGATACAGGGGGAGTGCAGTACTATAAGGTATTTCTGCCTGATGCACAGAACTGAGAACTATTGCTTCTTCAAATAAACTAGTGATTGTGTATACAGTATAAAACATACAGTATAATAATGTGGGCTGCCTTTCAATTCAACTCTGGTTTCAGTTTATTCATAATGCACCATCACCCCAAGGAGTAGCTGCACACTCAACCAATTAAATGAAAATATTAAACACAAACAGTATATGGGTATTCACATGCATAAAGTAGAAAGCACAATAATTGGTAACAATTATGACCATTAATCCAACAAAACTGAGGTTAGTAGTTGCCAGCTGGTCTACTGAAGGTGTATGCAGTCAGTAAAACTAGAAGGGACCATGGTAAAGACTGAGCCTACTTCATGCACACTCAGTGGGGAGCTTAACGCCAAAGGAGAGGAGCTTGGTTAGCCACAGTTTATTTTTGTACAATCTAGAAAGAATTTATAACTAGAATCAGCAGGGTGTAAATTACATAAAAGAGCATTCAGAGTAATGAGAAATCATTCAAGCCCGGAGGGAGTGTTTTGAAATTGGTTGTGGTTTGTATTGTTGCTTGATGCAAAGACATCTGAACAGGTGGAGAACAATCGACCTTGGTAGATCCACTTAGGACTAAATAGTAAGGAAAGATTAAGACTCCTTTAATACTTTCATGGTCTGCCAACAAAAGTACATTATGATGATTATTTCTAGATGATATAAAAGTATTTTAGCATCTCTAATTGATTGAATTAGAGGAATCCTCCTGATGGTAAGTAAATGAAAATGGGCAGATTTTAGTGTTCTTTTAAACATTGAAGTCCTAATTTTGTCCTTTCTGGCTCATGCCAAATTCTTCTGAAATGAGCCATTTACAACAGGTTGCACCAAGAATGAGACAGGCATGTATCCACTTTTTCAGTTCCTGTCACATCAGCCTGGCGCAGCAGTACTGACTAAATGGGAGGCAAGAAAGATTTGAAGCCCTCGGTCTTGTACACATGAAGGCTACAGAATGGGCCTGCAGCTACATGATGATCTCCCTGCCAGTGCTCCTCTTGGAAAAGTTGTCTTTTCTCAGTCTTTTGCCTTTTCTGCTCCACTCTCTCTCCATCCTTTTTTCCACTAATTTCTCCGACTCTCTGGGAATTTCTTCTTGACACAAGCCCGGCAGCTGCATCCGGCCAAGCAGCCCGGCTCAATTCAGTCACTTCTCCACAGATGCCTCCCTGGAAAGCTGAAGACGACTATTACATAAAAGTTGAGTGACTTACAGGCAAATCCTCTCTACCCCAAAATTGCCAGAGCATACTGCCAAACCATAGACAGCGAGAGGGTGAGAGAGAGATGGAGTGTTTCTGGGCGCTGAGAAAAGCAGAATGTCAGAATTTAATCCCTCCCCAGCTCCCCTTGTTTTTCTCTTTTATTTCTTTCTCTTTTTCATCCTTCCGTCCTCAACCCCCCCTTCCGATAACACGTACACGACTACAATCATGTACTATGTATGTAATGTGTGTTCATGCAACATGAACACACACTGTTACCTTGTCACAACCACTTCATCCCTTCCCTCAGACAATGGATGTAAACATGCCATAAAAGGTGCATGTTGTTGTACATGCTCTTGTGTGTGCGAGCATGTGTGTAGTGGCATTTGGCCTGCTTTAAAATCTGGCTTCCCAACAGACACCAAATCTGTGTTTGTGGCTTCAGCTTCTATGTTTCTCTGGATCGCTCTCCAATTCTCACCAGTTCTGGGCAAACAGCTAAAAGTGTCGCATTTAAGTAGGAAGTTGTGCTTGAGCTGCTGTGTGTGTGTTTCCTGTGGCGTTACACTGGAACAGACAAATTCACAAGCATGAAAACATTAATGACAACACAAGCACTTGCTTAGGAACACAAAACTACATTTAGAACAAGGCTAGTGAAGCGTGCGTGCACAAAATGTATATGCACGCGCACACACACACACACATAAAAACACCAAGATACATCCAAAAAAGCAGCATACACAGACATACACAAATGCATATTTGTGCAGACATACACCTAACTGCCACACACGCACACTTATTTTGTATGCACACACCCATTAGACACACAATAAGTAGTTTGTAAGAGCACACACACACACACTGTATCAGAGAGCCCACAGCATCTCTGACAGCTACAGTGTCATCGCAGTGTGTTAGCGCCACACTCTGTCACTCTGCCTTGGTGGCAACCAGCCTATCAAAACCAAGCAGCCCTCACTTCATTGTGTGAAGGAATCCAGCCTGCCCTTCTTTATTTACTTATTTATTTGTTTGTTTATAACTTCCTAGAGATCCGACAGTTGTTGTGAGGAATAGTCGTGTCAGGCATTTTCCTGACAGAAGATGCTAATGTTCCTAAATACCTTGGTGGCTATTGACTCAGATGGATTAAAAGTCATTAGAACATGTGGGCTTTTGTGTGCTGAGCTCATTCCTGGCAGGCACACAGCAAAACAATGTAACAGGATTTCCTGACAGAGAAATGCAAATTTTAAATCTATTCCCTTTGAAGTATTAATTATAGTTTCAGTATATACGTAGTATAGGAAAATGTACTACTAAAATATATTACTATATTATGTAGTAGAGGTAAACAGAATCACTACCACCAACAGTTCATAAGGTGTAAACAATTCAGCTGTGCCCTGTCATTCAGTCTTGTATTGTAAAACTGCCACCCACTGATTATTTGACAGAGAATTCTTAACCTTTTGTGCATTCATGCCTTTCTTGTGGTTGTTAATGTTGACACTCGAATCAGTCATTTGGATCAAAGAATTCCATTTGCTGCACAGCAGCTCATCTGCTCAATTTTTTCCAGTTAGGACATGGGACAATCAGTCTTTTTGAGCAGGTTATCTTCCTTCTGTAAGGTATTCTAGATAATAACATCAGCCTAGTGTCCAAATTATAAATCCCATTTAGTCTCTGATGATTTCATTAATTTCTGAGAGCTGGAGATTAAACTGGATGAAGTTCCTGGACTCCAAAACAGGTGCTTTTTTTTTTTTTTTTTAAACTGTAACTGGTCCCTAATGGTAACAATGCCATTACCGGCTGATTCTGTTGGGACAAAATACATTCATCAAGGCTTGGCCCACAAGATCAACAAAAATACAGTAGGTAACACTGATGACCCTCTTCTTGACACTTAAAATGTTTCCCTCCTGGGTGCTTCCAGTTTGACTGGGGCCTCCATCCATTATCTATAGTGCTTAATAGGGTCACTGGGGGGCTGGAGCCAATCCCAGCTAAAACTGGGTGAGAGGCGGAGTTCACCCTGGACAGAATGCCAGTCTTTTACAGGGCTGACATGTAGACAACAACCACACACATCCACACTCACTCCTATAGGCACTTTGTGGTTGCTAGTCAACCTAAGCTGCGTGTCTTTGGACTGTGGGAGGAAGCCGGAGTACCCGGAGAGAACCCACACAGGCACAGGGAGAACATGCAAACTCCACACAGAAAGGCATCAAGTCAGCCTGGGCTCGAAACGCAGAACCTTCTTGCTGTGAGGTGACACATACAGTAGCACTAACCACCGCTCTGCTGAGCCGCTAGCTGGGGCCACCTTTGAAGACAATTAGTAGTAGTAGTGTAGAAATCCTTGGGGATCTACCACTGCACTAGTGGATCCCAGTGGTC